GAAGGCACTGTATCCATGGAAGTAGGCACAGGTCAAATGCAATGTTGGACGAAACAATCGGTCCAGTGCCTTCGTCAGGCGGTCGTACCCGTATCTGGGGCACTTCAGCTTCGATTGGTCCATTCCATCTATTATGCAGCTGATGGTTGAGGAATAGACATCATTGTCCTGAATGGTGCGTGTCAAAGTCGAAGCAGTGGACAGAAAGGTGATGGCAAGACTCCGAATTTTCCAGTACATTGCGCGGTCAAGCCATTGCGAAAGCAAGTGGGCACTGTACTGGCGTACGTACTCCAACCGCTGCGAATTGGAGGTTGCTGCTCTAATCTTCATTTTGTATGTTCCGCAGACGGTGCATTCTGCATGCTCTTTCTTCGCCCGACATTTCAAGTGAAAGGCAAAAAAATTTTGTATATCCTCATGAACGTAGATAAACTTGCAGGTTGCCTCCCATTGGCCTCCTCTGTCACACAATACTGGTAAAAAAGGTCACTGGGCAAACAATGCTCGATGTAGCGTCGCGGTCCAGCGAACGTTCCCGGCCCAATCTGTTCAATATTGGGCAGCTGAAATTGTTAATCAATGTTCCTCAAGAAGGATTGCACATAGCGTTCATCATAGTCAGGGTCAACATTTGATCGGCCTGTCAAATCTTCAGCCGGCATCACAAATTTGTTGGGCAGAACTTCAGCAGTAGACACATACAGCATCCAAAAGAAGGTAAGGATGTGCTGCCATTTGCTCTGGGAGGAACTCCGGAGTGACATTCCAAGGGTTGGGTGTCGAGCTTGCGGTACACGGTTGTGGTGCATAGTATACCCAGCGTTACCTTGGCGAAGTTCTTGCAAAACATTGGAGCCTACGCCGTAGAGACGCTTGTGAGCTGCTTGACAAACCTTGGGCTATCAAATCAAAGAACCAATGAAAAGTTTCTGACAGACCAAATTCAAAGGAATTCAAACTTTAAAATGCAATTTCAATATAGACTGCAAAACTGACAAAACACCTGCCAGAATACTGGAAAGCCCAAGACCTCCAAACTACGTGGTTTTGCTCGAGTAGTGCTACTGTACTTTCGTTTCTTTGGAGGCTGTGGGTTCAGGTCAACTTCGCTTGGCTCAGACTCAGGGAGCACTGCCTCTTCATCGCTGGAAGTATGAAGCACGTCATTCTCATTCGGTGGTGTTTCAAGAAGTATTTCATCCTGTTCTCCGTCCATCAGTGGCTGATCATTGGCAGCCAAATCCCCAGGAGACATCACGGCTGCAATGTTGTACCATTGGCACACCAGGAGTTCCTCTAGGGAGATCAAACTTGCTATTAATAGTCCCAGGGCTTTTCCTAATTTGTGGTGCCCAAAAACGAACTGCAACACACATGTTTGTTCGACTTATTTGTGCCTTCCGGTTGAAAGGCAAAGCTTGAAAATCAGAGCGTAGAGCTTCAATCTCTGCCTCCTTGCCACGAAGCTGTGTCAAGCAGTTTCCTTTGGAACAGTCGCACCTCCGCTTTAGCAGCTCTGAGACTTTGGCCAACTCATTGTGTCGAAGGGACCTAAAATCTCGTCTCCCTTGACTCTGCAAGTCAATGCCTTCAGCATCAGACTCTTCAAAAGTCTCTCCATCGGCTTCCACAACAGCCATGGGCGCGTTGATATGATCACATATGGCAACAAACAGCCTCTTTCAGTGTAGATAGCAACACAGTAAATTGTTGAACTGATGAGCGTCTTCAATCAGGCAGCATTCAATCAACTAATGACTCTTGAGCCCACAGGTTTCCAACAAACAACTCTTCCCTCACACATTCCCAAGAAACCTGCCCCACTATTTCTCAAATCAGTCCTGGAAGATGGGCGCTTTGCTGAAGGCCGCTTGAAAGCTGCTCCCGCCGGTCTCTTCTTAGGCGCCATGAGAAATCTAAAGCGCCACGTAAGCTGGGAAAGATGAGCCACACGACGTCTACAACAGCGGCTCTTGAAGCAAACCCGACTCATAAAAGACAGATTATACCATTGGAAAACCACATCCCTTGAAAAGACTCCTTCATGAAAGAACTAAGTCTCATGAAAGTAACTTATACTTCTTTGGCCCTCTCAAACATTTTGCCGTTTTTTACCCCTTACCGACCGGCCCGTTTGCAAAATTGACATATAGCTCCACTGGTAGATGAGAACCAAGCAAACTAACGAAACTAGATAGACACCGCCTAAAAGTCACCTCTACAGTTGCTGAGTTTGCTAGATTGAAAGTTGTCATCGTGTTGGACCACTTTGCAACGTTGCTACAGTATCGTGTTCACATTCAGGTCCCATGACTGAATTGGGGTGAGGACGAAGCAGGAAACAGGAACGGGATTTCATCAGCATCCATGTCCTTAAGGTTGATCTCATGGCATTATCACATTGTCATCGGCTTCCCAAATTGTCGAGAGGTTCACAACATTGTCTATCACCTTTTGAATCCAACGCACTGCTCCGAAATCAGACCCTGTCGGACCCCACGTCAAAATGGTTCTTCTTCCGACACTGAAATAAACCATGAAGAAGACTAATTGTCCTAACAGAATTGCTTGCAATGCTGCGAAAACCACCACTGTGGCAGAATCAGTTTCCAATCTGGCGGGATATGCCAGCAGTACTTCGTTAGGAGTTAAGAGTGTGGCTGCAATCAAGTTCGAGGTGTGAGATTAAGCATGCATATCCCGGCGGGTTTAGAAAAGGCAAGGCGGTGGTGTTTTGTGGAGACCTCATGGGTTCCTGTGTGGGCTTTTGCGAACCTTTGTTGTTGGCATGATATGTTCAGTGTCCTTTTTGCAGAGCTTTTCGTTGCGCTCATTTATTGAATGACGTCCAAGAGCTTTTTTCATTTTGCCCGGCACTCTAGGATTTTTTGACAACTGCTGGGCCAGAAGCTTCAGCCTGATTTCTTTCGTGGGGATAGATGTGCGAAGCCACCAGTGATAGACATAATTCCACAGGTGACCATTGACCATCGGCCTTTCCGATAGAGTCACATGCTGCGATTGGATTCGGCAGAAAATCTTTGAGATCCCGCCACTGCTGGTCTATGAGACCAGGGTTCACATCGATTTGTTTGTAGTTTTTTCACCCCCGCACCCCCACATCACACATCGAAGCAATTGACCCGAAGTTGCCAATCACAACGAACGTCGCCACTTGGACCTCCCCCCACCGCACCCCCCTGTTGTGTGGCTTTTGTTTGGGGTTGTTTGGGGTTGTCCTCTACACATTGTGATGTTTTGTGATTTTGAGCTTCCTGCTTCCTCAAGGCTCAAGTAGCCAAGGACGTACTGCAGCTACAAAAATCTATACGTCTCACCAGGCATAAGCAGTAGTCGCTCTTACTCCCCGACCCCAACCCTCCCCAGAAAAAATCAAATCGACCAAGCACCAGCAAATCCACCATACATCGCATCCCTGTCGCATCCGCAACCAGAAATCTGCACGAACTTCAGAAATGGCCTGGCAACCTGTGAAACCGGCACACCACTGGATACCACTGGGAAGTACATGAAAACGACAAAAAATGCAACGAAACGAACGGGTGCTCCGTCGTGCAAAAGTTGGCCTCACAACGACCACAAAACACGGCAAAATGCATAAAATGAACACCGCTGCAAACCACGCGTCGCCTTCAGCGAACCCACCATTCTCCAGGGAGTGTTCTGAGGAACGTCATTTTGTGGGACTTGGAGCTTTTGGTACTAGCACTAGCATTAACTCTTGGTCAATAGGGCTGGGCATCATGCTCAACATACGCATTATCCTGTGTGAGGTGGGATGATGAAGTATAGTATAATAGATATGTATATAAGTAAGATGTCAGGATGGCTCTACCATAGTGAAAGGCAGATAGCGAAAAGTGTGGTCACATGTTCTAAAAGTCGTGGCATGGGATATCATGATATCAGGAATTTTGAGTCAAATGTGGAGTATGCAACGGAGTCCATTGTGAGCTTTTGGAATGGCTCATTGTTATGTCAACCTCTTCCCCTGTCGTTTGTGTCCTGGCGATGCTAGGAGATGCAGCAATACGCCTTTATTTTTGCTCGTGTCCTTTCTATGTTCAGTTCATCTCATTTGTTGCTCCTTCCGTGCATCAGGCAGCCAACAGAAGGGTTACCCGGCTGGGTGAAACGTGCTATGAGCAAGTAGTGCGGTTGATACTGCAGGTTGCGTTCATTTTCTTGGTGTTGCAACCCTGCCTGAGTGACTGAAGCGACTGAAGGGCGAAGCAGCCAACTTGCAAAATGCCTTTTGTCACAGTTTAGAGTAGTTTTAATCGTGCTGCTTGATTTGCTTGTAAGTTTGCATTTGCTAATGCAGGATTCTTTGACAAAAATCAGCAGGTAAGGGCTTGCACTAAGTTTGTCCAAGTCTGATTAGAACCTCTGTGTGTGTGACCCTTGGAATCATAGGGGGTCTTTTGACATAATTATATAAACGACTGATTGCCTATCGAATCCATGCCAACGAAGCTACGGAAATCAGTTGGAAGAGACTTGGGACACCAACTCTTGTACCTGCATTTGGTTGTGAGGTTTGGTAACAACACTCCACTTCTAGAGTCTTGGAGGATGCTTCAGGTTGAAGAGGTCGTGCTGCAGAAAAGGCTAGCGCACTTCATGACACTTGATGCCTTGGAACTTTGAAGCCTTCGAGCTTAGTTGGACATCGAACTTCATTTCATGAGGGCATTGGAACTACTTTCCATCGTTGGACTCCTTGGCACTCGTTTTACCCAGGAACCTTTTTCACCTAGGCTTCCGTGTGGCATGTGGCATTCAGACCGTACGTATCCGTACGTGCTTTATCCCAAGTGCATGCTTGGGCCTAAACTGTTTGGGGATGCTCCAGGTTGCATGCCTCATTTTCCAGACTATGTTCACCTGGATTCCAGTATTGTTGAAAACCTGGCAGCCTCCTGAATTGATGCAAATGTTGCACTGCAAGCCGGAAAAATCACTAACCTTGACAGGACCACTTCCCATTGATGACACCGCATGGACCTTGCTTTTCAAGGCCAAGCTTGGAGCTTTGTTTCCCGTTGTCATTCTCTTGATGCTCGCTTTCAGCATCGCGGCTGCATTGCTTAAAGGCACCGGTTCTAGTGAGTTTGCCACTGTTTCCTTAGTGTGTTTGTTTTCATTGCCGATGCTCAGGTTTGCTGTGTTGTTCCAGCTTCATGTTTTACCGTGCCAAGAAGCCAGAGGCCTGAGATTACTGAGTTTGATGAGTGGTGCAGGTCCTACGCGGCCGCCAGAATACTTGTTTCCTCTTCCGCGGCCCAGGGAGAGGAGGCTGAAGAGCTGAAAGCCCAAGAGTGCGGGCCAGAGGCCTTGCTTGGAAACATGGCTGGGCCTCAAATTTGGACAAAGTGACGAAAAATACGGATCGTGATCGGATCGTGATCGGGTGGTTTCAGTTTCACTTTTCTCCGACACGTGCGACAAAAGCCGTGTCCGATCTCCAATCAGCTTGGAAACCATAGGCTTTGGAGGAGGATCTCTACGGTTTGGCAATTGCTTCCATCGCACCTCAGCCAATGATGACATGGAAACGGTATTGAAACGGCAAATGGAGTGTGTTTCGGCATGTTTGTTCTTGCTTTCACCGCTCCTAGTATCAGCCGCTGTTTGTGGAGTCGGTGGCACCTGCGGGCGTTCCATGTGCCAAGGTTCGGGACTCCAGATCTTATTGCAAAGGCTTTTCCACCGCTGGGCTTATGATGGCAAGAATGGGTGTGGCTGTGATGAGTCTTGGCTCTAACTGTGTGGGCTACTGTAAGTCGCAGGGCAGAGCGCCGCATGTGGAGATTACAGTGATTACAGGGCTTGGCACTAGCCGCTACTAATTAGTCGCAAGCTCTTACCTTACCCCAGAGGTGCTTTCGCTGACTATGGTTCGCTGTTAAAAGTTTGCTGTCCCGGAGTCCCACTTGACCAAGCAGGGTGAGCATGAGTTAGTGGCCGAACGAAGCCACAACAAAAAGATTATAAGAATTGCTCAAGCCGGCCACACCTCTTTGGTTCGTCCCGAGGCTAGGAACTCAATGCTGCCAAACTTCTTTGCCCAAACTTTCCTTCGGCCAATACTGTACAGAATATTCTACTGATCCAGGTGTGAGGCAGCTGTTGGCCTTACGAATAGTTTTATATATGTATTATTATATGTTATATATATATGGTACCGGACCGAAACTTAGAATGCGGTTTAGGGAATATGCATGCTGTCCATAGATTTAACACTTAGCATGTGACGGACTGTAGTTTGGAATGGGTGCAAAATTTGGGCCTGGAAACCGCCTGCAATGGCCTGCCAAGGGTGTGGAGCAATCACAGAATTATTCCCGTTTTCCATGTCCCTTTCTTCCATGTTTGTGTTGTCTTAGATTTAACACTTAGCATGTGATTTTGATTTAAAATAACAGGCTTTTCTCATTCTAAGTTTATATGATTATATATATTGTTTTTCCGTCATTCTTTGTGCGGAGGGTCGCATTTAGGGATTTGTTTCACCCATTCTAAGTTTCAGTCCGTCACTATATGGTCTCCCGCCCCCGGGATTAAAGAATAACGCACCGATTCATTCTTATTCTGTAGTGTTTCGGCTTTAGATGACCTGCCGGGGTTGCCATAACCGCCTTGAACTTCCGGTGGGTACCTCTGGATCGTGTGACCCGTGCTATCTCAGCGGGAAGATCAAACAGGTTGTGGCTACACGGTATCCTACGTCAAAGGCCCGTGAGTTGACTTCCTATTTGGCCAAGGTTCTCACTACCTTGGAGAGGGATTGCGAGGTCTTTGAGACAGACCGTACTGCTGGGATTGTTGACGCCAGAGGCTTCCTCATCCAGGAGAAGAAGGGTTCGAAGGCCACTGAGGACCAGGAAGCGGGCAATACAGCCAAGGCGGCGGCGGCAACGGGGGTTCACCCTGGGAAAGCAAGCCCTACAGCGGGTCCATCTACTGCAGTGAAGGAGGAGTGCAACGATACAGGTAAAGACAGGAAACCTACACCTGCCCGTTCGACATCCAAGCATCGGCGGAGGCGGCGGTCTCGCAGTCGAAGGCGTGAGAAGAGGCAGTCACGGGGGAGTCCAAGCCCTGTAGTTGTTGAAGAGCAGGCCGAAGCAGTCAGCATTGGCCCAGAGGTGGAGGAGGAGTACGGAGACGAAGGAGAAGAGGAAGAGGATCAAGGTGGCAGTCAGGACGACGAAGTCATCAGAAATCCTCAGAAATTCGAGTTACGACAGACCGCAAAGCCATCAAGCCGGAAGCCATTGCCAAGGAGGCCGCGGACACCATCGGTCTCCCCTCCGGGGTATAGAGAAAGAGACCCTGCGCCGCTCAAGCGGTGGAAAGGCTGGGCACACGTCTACAGAGGACAGGAGCGCCAGTCGAAGGGCAAAGGAAAAGGCGGCAAGGGCCGACCTTCGAAAGGAAAGCCATGGCACCGAAGGTGATCAGGCGACCCGCAGGGGTCCCCAGACTACGTGCTCCGCTTCGCCGACCAGCAGTGCACGTGATCAGCGAGGAAGAACGGGGCAGAGGGCCCTTGAGCGACGGGGAACTAGTGATTGGGTCCCTGATTCATGGAGAAGAGGGAGCATATTACAACACCCCTTGTCAGTTCAGCGGACGTGTCATAGAAGTGGTCAGGGACGCGTCCGGGCAGTACATCGTCCTGAAGCTCCTCGGCACAAATCTGGAGAGTCTGCTGACTTGTGTGACAGGCACCACGCATCACGCCCGAGTACACATCTGCGACAGCGAGTGCAGTCAAGAAGCTGTAGGACCAGGCCTCATCCACTGCAAGAAGTATCGGATTATCGGGTCGCTGGAAGACCTGGAGGGACATCCATGGCGGGACGTGCTCGTCGGCGCGGGTCCTCGGGAAGGGGACGAACTGGCGGGGCTTCGAGGTCGCATGGACGCTCTGCCGGAGGTTCCAGGAGAAGGACGAGCTGCAGCCAGCAAGGTCGACAAGGAGGGCATCAAAGAGAAGGAGAAGAAAAAGGAAAAGAAGAAAAAGCGTCGAAGGCAACGAAGGAGATCAAGTTCGCCGGACAGCAAAAAGAGAAGGCGATCCCGTTCGAGCCGCTCGAGAAGAAGAGAAAGCGAGAAGAAAAAGAAAGCGGCCGAGGGAGACGGGGCGAAGGACCCTGTGAGAAGCAGCTCTTCATCCAGCACGAGTTCATCAACAGCGTACACACCCGTCGACCAGAAGAGGTTGTTCGCCCACAGTGGACTCGACCCAGTGAAGAAGCTCAGAAATCGTCAACGCCGGAAGGCGCAAAGGTATGCCCAGAGGAGCCGACCGAAGAAGGACGACAGCCAGAGCAGCACCAGTGGAGATGGAGCAGGGTTCAAAGGCCAAACTATCTTCGGGGAACATCAGCGCGTGCGTGGAGTAGCCCTGAATTTTCCTGGAGTATTGTCTGCGCAGGCAATAGAGGACATGCAGGAGCTCATGCTGACGGAGGCTGGCCATCAAACGAGCCAGCACGAAGGATGGGTACCTACGCTCCTGAGGTATTACCGCCAGATGCTCAGCCGGCGGGTCTCAGGCCCGATGAGTCGAGAGCTGCTGACGCTTTGCACGGTGGCCGATCTGGTGATCCGGGGTCTCATCTCGGACGCCATGGACACCCTGATCCAGCGAGTGAAGTCGCTGGAAGCGCAGGCAAATGGCATGCCGTGGACATCAGCCCAGCGCCTGGAGATCTTGCCGAGCGACGCCGCAACCTTATCGTCGAGGCAAGAATTGAAGATAGCGACGACCGAGCAGAAGGCGGAGGCTCAGGCCCACCAGACGGGCTCTTGGTGGGGAAAGGGCAGTGGAAAGGATCATGCCAAAGGAGAGAAGACAGACAAGGGAAAAGGAAAAGGCAAGAAGGGCAAGGAGAAGCCAAAGAAGGACTAGAGGCAACAAGTATGCAGGGCACTATGACGGGGTTGAAACATCCTGGCGAGGTTGAGACAGAGGCCATGGACGAGGAAGACAGCTGGACGGGGTTGGTTGACCCTGAGCGTGCATTGGTTGAGCACAGGGGCACAAGCCCACATACAGATGGTATAGATGATATGACTGCATGTGGCGCTCATTTCAAGGAGCTGACGCGTGTTGAGAGGAAGCCGGAAGAGCTACACGGTGGCGCAACGAAAACGGGGCCTTGCGCCCTGTATCTTGCAGGGGCGGATGATTCATTCCCGCCCGGAGATTGGAGCGATTTTCCCAAGGGAACGCCAGTTGGGCTGACGGGGTACAGCTTTCCGTCACAGCCGAACCAATCCCTGATGAAAGCGGGGCGCAAGCCCTCGGACCGTGAGGGTTCGCAAAAAGGAGTGATGGGCATGCAGCTTTGGGAAATGGGGTTGACACTGAAGCAGAGCCTGCGAGGGTCTAGCAGCCAGCCCACGGAGGGGGAGAAACCAAGCGGTAAAGAGACACATCCGTCTGGGACCTTTCCTCTGCCGACCCGTCGTGAGCTCGTGGCCCCGATCGTGTCGAGTGATGAGGCATGGACAGTTGATTGGCTTTGTGCAATTTGTATAGCTTTGAATTCATTATGGGGGTGCTCGCAACCCGTATCCCAGGATCATGGAGAAGGAGAAGGTACATCAGCAGCTTCCGAGATGCAGGCCCGGATTGTCCGGGGATTGGCTGGAGAAGTGACTAGGCTCAAGGACATTCGTGAGGTGACCGAGGAATTCGACTGGGGACTTTTTCCGGACCCGTACGATCGACTACAAAGGGGATGAAGTGAAGACAGCTTTGACTTTTTGTTGGGACAACATTAGGCCCTTAGGCCGGCCCTGCTGAAGGAGATCGGGGTGGCTCATTTGGTTGACATCTGTGAACTAGGGTGCAAGAATTATGTGGAGAATTTTCCATCCTTCCTCAAGCCGCCGAGTGAGTGTGGACCTGTGCGGAAGGCACGGGTTATGGTCAGGGACGAGGACTGGTTTAGTGTTGCGCAGGGGCTGCTTGAAGCAGGGGTCTTTGGGATGGTGCCCGAGTCGGAGGTTTTTCGGGTGAACTCCAAACTGCTGCTAAACGGCCTTTTTGGAGTGGAGAAACACGAAGAAGCACAGGGAGTACCGATCTACCGCCTGATTATGAATCTGGTGCCACTCAACGAGCTGTGCCAAGGGATGGCAGGAGATATCCAAACGTTACCTCACTGGTTCGGCATGTCACCGTTCCACATCGAGCCCCATGAGAACCTCGTAGTTTCTAGTGAAGATCTGCGGTGTTTTTTTCTATACGCTATCACTGCCTCGCTGCTGGTACCCTTATTTGTGCTTCAACAAACCACTCCCAGCCGCTTTGGTGCCACCAGAAAGGGGGGCGAGGTGCGCTACCCCTGTTCAAAGGTATTGCCCATGGGATTCCTAAACAGCGTGGGAATCGCACAACATGTACATCGCACCCTTGTCCTACGATCACAACAGCACAACCCGAGTCGCGACACGGAGAAATGCGAGATTCGCAAAGACAGAGTGCTGCCAGATGGGCAGACGGTCTGGAGGGTGTATTTAGACAACTATGACTTGCTGGAGAAATACCCACGTGAGACTTTGCTGGAGGAATCGAGAGAGGAAGCCCCTGAGATACTCGCCCTCCGAGAGGAGTATTCAGCCTGGGGCCTTCCACGACACCCAGGAAAAGCAGTGAGCCGGCAAGCGGTAGCTGAAGTCCAAGGCGCAGTGATAGACGGGCATCGGGGACTGGCGTACCCTAAGGGACAAAAACTATCCAAGTACGTTACCATCGCTTTTCAGCTCATGGAGGAGACCGTAGCCACACAGCGACAGATGCAAGTAGTATGTGGAGGACTGGTTTATTTCTCCACCTTCCGACGGCAGATGCTAGCGGGGCTCAACGCTTGTTGGGCCTTCATCGAATCATTCAACGTCCGAGGTCGTCACCGACTCCCGACCCCGAAGAATGTCAAACTGGAGATCCGCCGGTTCTTGTGTCTAGTGCCTTTGTGCAGGATGAGCTTTCGCCTGGACTTGAACCCCAGAGTCACTTGCAGCGATGCCTCAGAACACGGAGGAGGCGTATGTTCTACGGTTGGACTGACACAGTTTGGTGAACAGGTTGCAACAGGCTCGTGTTGTGGGGAAATGAAGGCACATCGAGGCGGCCGCATCCTGAGCATTGGCCTTTTCGACGGAATAGGGTGTTTGCGTGTGGCACTGGACCTACTAGGCTGTGATGTCGCGGGGCATATCTCAGTGGAGAAGGACCCTGGGGCGCGAAGGGTGGTCGAGCACCACTTTCCGGGGACCAGGCATTACCCTGATGTTGTCGAGGTCATGGAGAAGGACGTCAAAGAATGGGCATTGACCTATGGGCAAGTCGAACTGGTATTGCTCGGCGCTGGACCGCCCTGTCAGGGCGTTTCAGGGTTAAACAGCCAGCGCAAGGGCGCCTTGAAAGATGAGAGATCTGGGTTGTTTGTCCACGTGAAGCGGATCCAGACGCTAGTTCAGAAGTACTTTGTGTGGGCGCAAGTCCATACCTTGATGGAAAGTGTAGCATCCATGGACGAGGTGGACAAGCTGGTCATGTCAAGCTCATTCGGGGATGAACCCTGGCAATGCGATGCGGGGTCCCTGACCTGGTGCAACCGGCCTCGTTTTTATTGGATTACTTGGGAGTTGCAGTCACATGGGGACATCATCGACCGGGAGAAGCGCGAGCTCTGGCTGATCGGGGAATCACCCTGGGAGGAGAGCGTTCAAAAGGGTTGGACAAAGGTTGACCCGAGCCAGTCTTTTCCTACGTTTACTACATCACGGCCCCGCACCAGTCGAGGACACCGCCCTGCGGGTTTGCAACACTGCGATGAGGAGACAGTGAGAAGGTGGGAACTTGACAGCCATAGGTTCCCTCCATACCAGTATTTGCCTCGACATTGTTTGGCAAAAGCTCTTCGCATCCCCAACATCCTCGAAAGGGAGTACATGATGGGACTACCCGTAGGGTATACTCAGATGTGCATGCCAAAGGGACAACGCAAGACTTCTGCATACCAAGACAAGCGGCTAAGCCTTGTGGGGAATGGTTGGTCAGTGCCAGTGGTTGCATGGCTGGTAGGACAGCTGGTTGGCCCGCGAGGTTTGGGACCTCAACTCACCCCACAAGAGGTACTATTGCGCCTGAAACTGGAGGGGAACCCTTATGTACAGTCACGCCTGATGAGGCCGCCACTGACACCAGACCAGAAACCTTCACGGACCGCGGAAGGAACCCTGGTGGAGCTCCTGGGGCGCCTTGTGTCTACAAAGGGAGCTGACATTATGCTCACTTCCACGCCGGAGGAGGTTCAGGGACATCAACGGCTTCGACGTACAGTCAATCCGAAGATGTGGAAGTGGAAAGTCATTTCAGGATGGAAGTGGTCAGGGCACGGGGAACACATCAATTCCCTGGAGTTGCGTGCCTGCCTGGCATGCTTACGATGGAGGATTGAACACATGAAGGAACATGACTGCCGCATCCTTCACCTCACTGACTCACTAGTATGCTTACATAGTATGACACGTGGAAGGACGTCAAGTCGCCGTTTGAGGAGAACACTCTGCCGAATCAATTCGCTCTTGCTAGCTCACAACGTGGTAGGTCTTTGGGGATATGTGAGCACCGACCTCAACCCAGCGGATCGTCCGTCGAGGTGGGCGGTGCGAACCAAGTTCCGCCATGCCAGGTCATGTTTGAAGGATCCACACAAGCTAGAAGAGCGTCAGAACGGCAGAAACTAGGCAGTCTGAAACACCTAACAGTGCAACCTTCCACACGGGCACGCTATTATGAGAAGGCCCTAAGCAGATTCCTCGCATTTTTGAAGGCTGAAGGCCTTGCTTTGCCACGAAAGCTTGAACTTTTAGACACGCAGGTTATGGAGTATGTGGAACATCTCTGGATTTCGGGGGAAGGGCGTGGACTGGCCGCCGACACCCTGGCATCTTTGCAGGACCATGATGCAAAGTTGCGCGGACATCTTCCCGGATCCTGGCGTTTGGTAAAAACCTGGGTAACTCATGAACTACCAAACAGGGCACCGCCGGTTCCTGAACTGGTGTTGCATAGCATGGTAGGATGGGCACTCTACCACTGCCATTTCGCCTTTGCTACCAGCCTGCTTCTTTGCTTTTACGGAATTTTAAGAACTGGTGAGCTCTTAGATGTCAACCGCAGCCGGATCGAAATCTCGGCAAAGCTTCGGACGGCAGTCGTTTCCCTGAAACTAACAAAGGCCGGGAAGAAAGCGGGTGTACAGGAGAGTGTGTCCGTTACCCATGATACGGCATTCCGATATGTACAGCAGTGGTCTCGGTTAGTGACAAGTCACCAAAAACTCTGTCCATCGCCACCCCGATGGCGCGAATTGTTTAAACAATGCGTGGAGAGCCTTAAGTTGGAGTCGTTAGAACTGCGCCCCTACTCGCTTCGGCGGGGAGGGGCAACGTGGTGGTTTTGCCAGCACGGGAACCTAGATTGGGTGATGATCCTGGGACGCTGGCAAGCACAAAAAACCGCCCGAATGTACCTAAATGAATCCAGAGCCATTTTGGCCGAAATGCGCCTGGGAACCCTTGAGAAGACCATTGCACCCTACCGACAGTTTTTCTTGAACGCGACCCCTAGTGATTTTGAAACACTTGAGCCGTTGCAAAGCAACAGGCAGTCCTCGAAACGAGGCCTAGGGGGACGTGGAAGGAACGTGAAAGTTTCCAAAAGACCAGCAAAAAAGGAGCGTTAA